ACTCTTTGGTCATAATGCTTGCTTAATTCTTTTTTTTAAGAAGGCAGCGTCCAGACAGGGTCTGATCCTGCCCTCTCCCTTTTATTGCTTGCTTAGTTAATAGCAGAACGATGGGTTGTGTAGTGGGCAGGGCATTAGGGCTGGGGGGAAACAGGGATCAAACCCCACTCAGCCGCTGGAGGGAGGTGATCTTGAGGAGGCCCATTGGCACTCCTGTTCTCAAGTGGTTATGGGAACCCCCCCCCCCCCACACAAGGGGAAACTGGGGTTCAAATCCCACTCAGCCGCTGGAGGGAGGTGATCTTGAGGAGGCCCATTGGCACTCCTGTTCTCAAGTGGTTATGGGAAAACCCCCACACACACCCTCTCTCCTCAAAATGGCAAGACGGACAACACACAAACACGTCAGACCCAGAGAAAGAGTTTATTGCTTGCTTACAGAGAAAAAGGAGTTATAGAAACTGGAGTGGAGGAAAGAGAGAGAGGCTTCCCTGTCAGGCCTCAGATAATTCAACCCAAACACATCCAGAAGGAAGGAAGGATCTTTGGTTCAGAACTGGGGTCAAGTTGGGAAGAGTGCAAGCTTCCGGATCTCACAGGCTTCTTCAGCAGGTGGAAATGGTCGGCTGCCCAATCCACTTGTAACTTTTCCATTCAGTTGGGTACAAAGCCCTGTGTCATTCTGACCCCCACCGATGATGCTCTCATGCAGGTGCTGGGGAAGAGGTGGCTTCCCTCTCCTCTCCGTGGCCCTTCCAATCGCTGGGAACCCCCCCTCCCAATGCTCCCAGTTCAACCCACGTCTCCATCTTGCATAGCAGGAGGGCTCGGTAGCCAGGCGCTGGTGCGTGGAAAGGGGACCCCTGAGTTGGCGACCGGGCCGGTGGGAGGGGTGGCCCAGCCTTGAGAGTCCCTGAGATCCGTGGGTGGCCCCCGCCGACCTCCAAAGCTGCCCGGGAGAGGCGTGTTCCTGAGTGCAGAAGGATGGCCTGAGAATGGCTCACAGTGGCCATGGGGGGGGGAGGTTTCCTGTCCCCACACCCTCCCCCCCGTTCACCCCCTTGGAGGCTGGCTCGTGGGGCGCGGCTCAGCCTGGCCACGGCTGGCTTGGAGGGGCCGTGAGGTCAAGGTCGAAATCCGAAAAGGCGGCAGAGTCTATCCGGGTCTCCTGGGCTCGCTGCAGCCCCAGCACAAACTCCACCGGCTGCTTCCGGAGGATTTCGGCGTCGAACGTCATGCCACGGAAAAAGAGGTGGCCACGGAAGTGGTGGAGGTAGCGCAGGCGCCGCTGCGGATCCTGGCACAGGAGCTGGGGGGCGGGGGGCGAGAGAACAACGTTACAGTTCCCCAAATACCACCTCCTGAACAGCAGCCACGCTTTGCCACAAGAATCCCGCGGTCAGCCACTTGCCGTGGCAAGGGTCTTAAAACCCTCTGTGGCCAATTCAGGGGATCCTGGGAGTTGTAAGCCCCTCTGGCTGGGGGTTGTGGGATAGGTTGTTCCAAATAAAACCATTTCTCCTCCCACAGGGCTCTGGAAAAGTGGATGCCGGAGGGAAAGGAAGGGAGGGGGGGACCCAGGACGTTTACCTCGCAGAGGAGGAGGCGAAGGCCCAGGCCGAGCGTGGACGGGATAGCGTAGCCGCAGCGTCTCACGCTCTCCAGCATGGCGACGTGGTCTTTCTCCGGGGCCAGCGGGAACTGAAGGAGGCGGGAGCAAAAAGAGAGAACGTTTTCTCCGTCTTTCTCTGGCAGGATTCGAAGCCAGAGCCAGGAACTGGCGCCGTCGTGGATAGGAGCCTACCTTTCCCGTGGCCAGGGCGAAGAGCAGCACTCCCATGGACCACCAGTCCGCGGCGTGGGCGTAAGGGCCGCCGCTCAGCACCTCTGGGGCTGCCAGGGACAGGGAGGAGCAGAAGGTCATCAAGGCTGTGGTTTCCCCACCCCTCTCCACGCGTGCCACGGACCCCTGCCCTGCCCCGCCACGTCCCGTGAACTGCCTCACCCATGTAGTGGAGGGTCCCGCAGATGGTGTACGCGCGTTCTCCCCAGGGGAGGTGACGGGAAAGGCCAAAGTCGGTCAGCTTCAAGTGACCTGCGGGAGGGGAAGGGGGGAAAGTGGCCTGTTTGCACCACGGCTGTCCACCGTTTCAGGCCGAGAACTGGAGCCCAAGATTTTGGGATGGAGAGGTTCCCCTCGTCCCCATCGTGGGCGCTGAACATGCCTACCTTGTTCATCCAGGAGGATGTTTTCCATCTGGAAAGGAAAAGACGCCACATATCAGGGGCGTGGGGGCCACCCAGCCGACGCCACGCCTGGCCACCCTTCTCACCCCGCTCCCGAATCCGGGCCCCTCGATCTCTCAAAGTCAGCGGCCAAAGGCCGACATTCCGCCACCAGGCCAAGGGTTTTCCCAGGGAGGGGGCTTGACCCAGTTTCTTCCGACAGGGAGGGCAGCATGTTCGGAACAGAAGTCTGTGTGCAGAGTGAGAGATGCCACCAACTCCCCCACACACACACACAGTCGCCCACTGGCTAAGGACCACGGTTGAAGGAGGTGGGCTTCGTACCTTGACGTCACGATGGACGATGCCCAGGTTGTGGAGGTAGGCTGGGAAGGGGAGGAGGAGGAGCAGGGGGCAAAGACATAAAATTAGAAGGAAGAGAAGCGTCGCCTTCAGCTTCCAGCCAGCGCCCGGCGAATCCAGCCCTGGATGCCTGTCAAGCCACGCAGAGGCAACCGGGCTTGATCCACTCCGTGCCCCGGATCCGAGCGGACCAGGGGTGCTCAAGGGACGGTCTGGGAGCCCTCCGGACTGCACAGGCGGCGGCTACTCACCGAGCACCAGGACCAGCTCCGTGGCAAAGAGCCGGATCACGGCTTCGGCAAAGTGGCCGACCGATTTCCACAAGGTGTAGAGGTCCCCGGAGCTGCAGTAGGGGCACACTGGGGGTGGGGAGGGAGGCAAGAAGGGGGTGTCACCTCTGGAGCGCGTGCACACACACACACACACACACGGGGAAGGGAGGCAAAAAGGGGGTGTCACCTCTGGAGGGCACACAGCATGCACGCACGCACATGTGCAAGGGCGTGCAAAGGATTTTTCACACACACCCTCACCCTATCCAGAAGGGATCCAGAATCCGGAGAAAAACAACAGCAGGGATTTGAGGTCTCCGGCGGCCAGGTGGGTGGGTGGGGGGTGGAGAGCTTTGAGGCCTGGGAGGAAAGGAGATCTCTTGATCCCGGATCAAGCGGAGGGGGAGGGCAAGGCGCAAAGAGGCTGCTCGGGATTTGCACAGCGGAGCAGCTAGAGGGGCGTAAACAAGGGCTCACATGGGCAGCCACGCCAGGCAGCTGTGGAAGGATGGAGAGGAGGAGAGCCAGGAAGGGGAGCCAGGGGTGGGGGGGGGGAGAGAAGGCATCCTCTATCCTAGAGGGCGAGGGGGGGTCACTCACTGATAAAGAGGTGGCGCTGGCCCTGCCAGGTGTCCCCCAAGCCGTGAACGAACGGGTGGCGGACCTGCTTCTGGGGAACCAAAGAAAAACGTCTCTAGAGATGCAGACCTCTCTTAAAATATGGGAACAGCTTCTCGGTGGGTTTAAGAGAAAAGCCCAAGGAGGGAAATTAATGGGAGGCGGTGCGGTGGCTGAGAGGAAGCGCCCCGCCGAGGACGACGCTGGGAAGGGGTCCCAGAATAAGGACGGGAGATCACACGGCTGGCCAGACCCTCTGCATTCCCCTGTTTCATCTTCTTTTGCAGGGTAAGGGGTAAGATCCGAACCCAGGACCGACCAATATACAGGGCAGACTATAAAAGCTCAGATTCTGCTGACCCATTGGCAGAAACGCCCACCTGGGGAGGGGGGCATAGCAAAGTAAATAAATGTACAAAAGTAAAAAAAAAACGACAAGCCTTTTGCCCGCGGGCAAATCAGGGCACCCGGATTGGGTTCAGGACTCCATCCGATGCATTTTTCCAGCCGGGTCCAAGACGAGAGGCCCTTTTCTTAAGGGGTTTTAGGAGCTGCGCCCCAAAACCTCCCCATCTCATGAATGGGGTTCTCCGACCTACAGATCCCCCCCCTCCGGACCTACCTGGATACTGACTTCCTCCTTGCATTGCTTCAGGGTGTCCCGTCGGAGAACCTCCACCTTTGGTACCACCTGAAAGAGGAAGACACCCCCCCCGGAAGCCATGATCCCCTCGCTCAGAGACAGCGCGGCACAGTGGTTGCAGCATCAGACTCTGATTGGAGAGAATTGCAGCGGGGTCGTCCTAAAAACCCACCCAAAATTGAGTGGTATTCCCTCATCAATGACTCCCTCTCCCTCCTCGTCCCCCGCTCTCTGCCTGGCCCGCCTGGCCTACAGAACCCCGATTTCCAACAGGGGGAAAGTCTGGTGAATCCACGCCTGATTTCGGTCCGAACTTTACAGCCGCTATCCCGAGAGGCGGAACCTTTTGCTTTCCAAATAGGTTTGGCACCTCCTTGGGGAGCACTTTGCCAGCTCAGGGTAAGAATCCGTAAGGGTGGCTCCGTACCTCTTTCTTATCCTCCATGAAGTTGACCTACCTTGCAGGGTGGTTGTGCGGAAAAAGATTAGGTAAGGGGGGGAGGAGGAAGAAGAGTCCTTTACAACCCCTGAGGCTCATGGGAGGGGGGGGAAAGGCTCTAGAAACATGGAATTAATAAAGGCAAATCATATTGAGCAATGAATCAATGAGCCAGCATGGGGGTGGAAAGGCAGAGTGAGACCCACCTTGACAGCAAAGACTTTTTCCTGCCTGCAATCCAGCACTTTCAGGACCGTCCCGAAGGATCCTTTCGCGACAAAGCCCACGATCTGAAAGGGAGGGGGAAAAAAGGATGCTTTTCCCCACAACAAATCACCAATCCATTTAAGACACGTCCTTCCAAAGGGAGGGGACATCTCAATTAATCCCGCAGATCCTGCAGTGTTTTTCTCTGCAAACCACCTCCGTCTTTATGAACTCTTTCCCAAAAGCCTTCAAAAGAAACTCCATCCGGTCACAGGGATGAATAAATATCATAAAAGAAATTGAAATAAAAACGGAACAAACTCTCCATGGCCGGCAAAATGCACAGATTGTCCCTTAAAAAAACCCTCACGATTAAGAACTTTAAATATTGCAAAATGTAATAAATGCATAATTCACTGGGGGGGTTATCGCAGATAAGGCTACCAGATGACCACAACAAAGACAGCCTACAGCTGTTGTTTTTTTAACCACAACTGCCCTGACCGTTGCTTCGGCTGGGTGGGGCTGATGGGGTTTGTAGTTGAAAACTCTTCCACAAGGTTGGAATGGACCCCATCTGTGGCAGCATCATTTAAAAGCTCCTGCCTCTTCCTGTTAAAGGACATGATGCTCAGTCCACTGGGACATCAGCAGGAATCTTTTTTGAGGGCTTCGAACCCTACGCACGACAGGTGAACAAATAAATTTAGGATTTCCAGATAGGGAGAACCGGCCCATGGCCGGAGGAATGTCTGAATCCCCCGAAGACCAGAAGTAGGAGCTGATCTTGGGGACACTTAAGTTTTAGGACCTTCCAAAGTCTCTTTCCCCCCCTCCCGAAAATACTTGGAAATCCAACCCCTCCCAAGTGGGAACTCCTGTCCACTTGTCTTGCTGACTCATGGGAATTGTAGTGGAAGAAAGAGACAGGCCTGCGGTCAGGTGAAAAATAAAATAAAAAGAGGGCACTCACCTTCAGTGGGCGAGGAGGCTGAACAGGGAACTCAGGTAAGAAGAGGGAGACGCACTGGGGGACGGCCCGATCCACCCCCTCTTTCTCCACCAGCTGGGGCCGCTTCTCGGCCACCGCGGCCACCACCTGCTCGGGCTTCAGGGGGTTGCGGGAGAGAAAAGCCCGTTCAAGACCCACGAGGGTCTCCCCGACATGGGAGAGGAGGGTCTTCCACGTCTGGGCCCACGAGACGCCGGGCAGGACGTGGGGGGCTCGACCCTGGAGAGAGGGAGGGGCCGAGAAGGCAAAAAATGTCAGCGGGAGGGAGGAGAGAAAAGCAGAATAAGGAATGTGGAGCCACTTTCCAGACAGGGCAGGGGCTAAAGTCCTGGTCGGCAACTTAGCCGGCCGGGTGTCAAATCCCCCACGGGCTGGGTGATCTTAAGCCGGTCCCTTCCTCCCTCTCCTTCTCAGCCTGGCCTACTTCGCAGGGCTGTGGTGAGAACAGAGGGGATTAAGCAGGAAGAGCGCTCTCTCTGGCTCCAGGACTGGGACATTCAATGCAACAATTAATGAATAACTAACGGAAGGAAGAGTGATGGCTTTGAAAGGTGTTTTGCTAAATTAATGACACAGTGGGAAGCGGGGGGGGGGAACCCCACAGAATTAGGAGCCTGAGGGGGGAAGAAAACAGGAGAGTAATTCAACTGCCTGTCATTCAGGAAGATTTTACTAGCTTTATAAAATTTGAGGGAACAGTTGCAACGGTTTTGGGTGCCTGCCTGCAGAGATCTGGATTTCCAAAAGATCTCAGCCTTGCAGGCCGGATTATTTGGGCCAAGTGTAACCGGATGTGTTTCTAGTCTACCTCGCAGGGCTGCTCAGAGGATCCTGAAGTCTGCTCTTTCCAACAATTTGGAATTTTAATCACAAGCTGACTACTTTTTAGCATACTTTCCTGTCTGAATCAATCTACTGTCTTACACCACAGGCCATGCAAATATTGCACTTTTTAATTTTATTTAGAGTTAACACCTAAATGAAACAAAAACATTGTTGTTTATTACATTATGTGTTATTATATGCATGTATTTACAAATACACACACACACATCTCTATGCTACACCAGAGAGTTGACACCTAAATGAAACAAAAACATTGTTATTTATTACATTATGTATTATTATATGCATGCATTTACAAATACAGTACACACACACACATCTCTATGCTACACCACTTAGACACTTCTTTACCTAAAGGGAATATAACTATTTGCAAATGTTAACTTTTTTTAGAAAAAGAATCACAATCTTCAACCGCAGCAAAAAGGCTTCCAAGGGCAGACCCGAGAAGAACGCATTGGTGGCAGATGGGCTTTGTTACCTGCTTTCCTTCAGGTGACAAAGAGTCTGGTCGGGTTCCCTGAAAGCCCTACTAAATTAATTTAAAGGGGACCCGTTTGCCCACCCGGGCCACCCACCGGGGAGACCCCCAAAGCCCCGGCTTCTTCTCCCCGCAGGGCAGACTCCCATCATTCCCGGCCGGCTCAGCCACTGGAGGAGAAGGAGGATGGGACTTGGAGTCGAGTGGCCCGCCGTTGCTGGCCACCCGAAGGGAAAGAAGGAGGCGCTCTGTGCATGCCCGGAGGCGAGCTTGCTTTCCCCTCCTCCAAAGACCCCCCCCCGGGGCGGAGGGAGCGATCCGGAGCTCCGCGGGGAGGGCCCGATCCTGGCCCCTTCCTCCTCCTTACCTTGAGCACCTCGGACGACGACGACGCCTTCTTCTTCTCCTTCTCCGCTTCTTCTTCTTCATCATCCTCTTCTTCCTCCTCTTCCTCCTCCTCCTCCTCCTCCTGCTCGGGGCTTGGCGAGCATCTTCGGGGCGGCTGCTGCCCGCGGCCCCCATGGTCGCCGGTCCTTCCTCCTCCCTCCTCCGGCCGGACCCCCCCTCCCCTTTCCCCGCGGACGACGACGACGCCTTCTTCTTCTCCTTCTCCGCTTCTTCTTCTTCATCATCCTCTTCTTCCTCCTCTTCCTCCTCCTCCTCCTCCTCCTGCTCGGGGCTTGGCGAGCATCTTCGGGGCGGCTGCTGCCCGCGGCCCCCATGGTCGCCGGTCCTTCCTCCTCCCTCCTCCGGCCGGACCCCCCCTCCCCTTTCCCCGCTCGCTCGCTGGCTGACCCGCCCCGCGG